TATGCCTATACTGGGGCTGCATTAGATTTTGATCATCATTTGCCCTCTTCATGTTTTAGTTGATTATGCATCAAGTTTTATTTGAGTTTCAGGGCCTGCTCAAGTGTTGTTTTTTATTGTTCTTTGGAGTTTGGGCAGGGCTATCCTTGGGCTTGGATTTTAATTCAGATATTGGGATGAAGAAGAAAAGGGGTAATGGCCTGGTGGTGAGGGCTGGGAAGGCTGCCCTTTGTCAAACCAAGAGGAATAGGTCTCGGAAGTCTTTGGCTCGTACTCATGGATTCCGAAAAAGAATGAGAACAACTAGTGGAAGAGCCATCTTGAAGCGTCGACGTGCCAAGGGTCGATGGGTCCTTTGCCCAAAGTCCTATCCAAATAGAGGGAAACGTGCCTAACTATTTCTTTTATTCAGGTGCAATTGGTAAATGTAATATTAATTGATATTCAGTAAATGATTTAGGCAAACTTGATCACATTCTCTTTTTTCTGCTTCCTCTGTGCAATTGTTTTAATTGAAATTCACAATGATTATATTCAACCTTTTTCTGTCCTTGTGTTTATTTTAGCTGTTCTCACTTCTAGCTCTTAGGCATCAACAACAATCTATAAAAGTAATAAGTTATGAACTGATCTTAACTCCTTGTTAAAGTTGGAAGGGTGATGGTGAAAGTATTATGTTCCTGCAGATGATTGGCTCCTTGTCCTACCCTTTGTAGCAGAAGGTTCGCCTGGTTGTTTAACTTCCTCTTCTTTGTCCTCTGACTTTTTTTTTTTTTTTTTTTTTTATGAGCACATGATATCTATTTATGATCATGCATGGTGGACGATTTGTGTGAATTTAATAAGATTTCCATTTTTCTTTCCTGATTGTAAGATTGGTGTTATTCAGAGGTCCTTCTGTTGCAGATGTTGTGAACAGTTCTTGTTGTGAATGTAGCATTTAGCCTTTAAATGATTTTCACCTTTTTCCCTGCTTGAAGTTTGTTCAAGAGATGTTGTTTCTTACTTAGTATTTCCAATTTATCAATAAGAGATGTTGTTTCTTTGTAACTCAAATTTATCAATAAGCTTATCAAATTTTAGATTGAATACAGGTAGGATAACAAGCACACTGGCATTTTTTTAGCCAAGTATGCTTACATATGGAAGGAAAGCGCTATACTATAGTATAGTTAAGTTCCTTAGCATTTTCATAGCTAAGTATGCTTAGAAATGTAAAAGGAACACACTGTGTTATAGGGTAGTTCAAGAAATTTATTTAAACCTCGATGCTGCTTAAGCAACCGGATAGGATGGTTTCATTGCAAGGCCACAGAGTCCTCCTGAGACTCCAGCATCCCTCTGAATCCTCATGTAGCCATTCTCTCCCCAACTTTCTCCCCATGAATTCCTGATCAACCAGTACTTGGTACCATCTTCGGTAGTCCCATACCCGACAAGTGTAACAGCATGGGCTAGATCATTGCCACATTCTCCAGTGAAAACACCAGTCTGATAGTTCTTGAAATAAGACCCACTGCCTTCTATGGCAATAGAGACAGGCTGCTGGCTTACAGCCTTTAATAATGCCTCTTCATCATTGGGAGTTACTTCTTCGAAACTACTGATGCTGGCAGCTGCTGTGGCACTCTCCGCTCGACAGGTTCCATCCATTGCCTCGTAAGGATAACTCTCCTCACTAGCTATTCCTTGGTTATCCCTGATGTACTCAAAAGCAGTAGTCATCCAACCGCCTTTGCAGCCTTGGTTGTCTTCAACACAGTCAACCAGCTGTTGCTCGGACAAAGAAGGCAGTTGACCACTCTTTATCTTTGTGATCCCTTCTACAGCTGCCACAGCTGAAAATGCCCAGCAGCATCCTACGCCAGTTAAAGAATTCTGGTTAGTAAATGTTGATGTAAAGAGTAAGCTACAGAATTCATTATTCAGTTTAGATTCTTACCACATTGACCCTGGTCCTTGATGCTGTTAACAGCTCCTTCCTTAGTCCAGTCCTTGCTCGATGGAATATCCGTGACGCTTTCATGCCTAAATGCCGTGGTTTTGGATGAGTCTGAGTTGGGGGGGATTTTGTATCCGGTGTATAAGGCCTTGAATTCTTCATTGGTTAAGTCGGAAAATTGATTGAGACCAAGCTTGAAGGTACGGTTTCCTTCACTGTTGAATTTCTCAATGAACTCCAAGTTGTCCTTGAAAATCTTCAGTCGCAGCTCCTTCTCTGCACTGGTTGGATAAATTCGGCCATACTGAGACATCCAGGACTGGTGTTTCTCAGCAATGTCAGCTTCAGGCAATATGCGGGAGGTTGTTTGCAACGCCCAACACCCTACTACAATCATTAACATGGGAATGAGGAAATTCGTTTTGAGTATCAGAGCCATTGTTAGCAGATTAAATGCTTCTCTCAGCTAACAATGTGTTACACAAACTGAAAGCTAGCTGTGAAGAAAGCTGCATTGATCTCCGGTATATATAGAAGAAGGTGCATTGGGGTTGGGATGGGAAGGG